GAGCAAAACCTTCACATTTCATCGAACTTGGCTGGCCTTTTTTTGATCTTGTCTCATCTGGTAGCTTTCATTAGGATGATTGGGCCTTGGGATGTCATAACCATATACACACGTTTCGTCACCAATTATGACCAGGTTGAGCAAACCCCGATCGTTGTCGGCGTCATTCAACGACTCCCCAGCGATACTAATGCAACATTGCCTTTGCACAAAATATCAATAATCGAATGTACACAGTCCGCGAAATATCTAAATTCACTTTTTCGTTTGAACACACCTCGTATATATGCACTCGTTGCCATTCATGAACTGTTGGAGGGTGCGTATCACTTCTAATTCGAAAGCGGAGAAGGATACGCTTCTCGTGCATTTAGCACAAGCTGATTATTTTCGTATTTGATTTTATTAAAATTTGTCGCATGACTACCACATATACATAATACGTGGCCATAATTTATGACATTTGGGAAACGCACGAACCATTACACTCGTATACTCGAGTTCTACATGCGCACAAATATCAATAAGAAGTCATGTGTCTAAGTATGTTAATATTTATATGAAAAGAAAAAGTAAATATCGCCGGGTTTAGCAAAAGTCCGCAGGAATTCAGCTGCCGCTGCTTGATTCATATGAAATTTATATTAATTGCTGCTAAGAAATGTTACCAGATCCATTTACAACTACATATGTACCATATGTGCGCGATAGTATGATTATCCAAATCTTACAAGTATAATCCACTACTGCAACTTAAATTTGTATTTAAAAGCAATCATTGCGCCATAAAGCATAAAAACAACAATATTTTTATACAAAACTTAAAAAACTTTTAGCAACTCGTCGCACTTGTTAACAACTTTTCCCATAAATGGCCCACCAAATCCCAGCACAGATTTCTTTTGTTTTTACTCTGCCTCCACAAACTTTTTTCTCGACTTTCCTATACCACTATTTGCCAGGACTATAAGCATATACGAGTATGTATGTGTATGTATGTATAACGTAGTAAGCACATTTATTGACTGTCCACCATAGAGTTTTGGTTTACTCCCACCACACACCAGCTGTATCGCAGCAGCAACACTTCTTCCTGATCGCACTGACACCATCTTCGTTTTTTTTTCACTTCATTGTAGTTTTTTGTGCTTTTCCCTCACATTGTCCTTTGGGGGCGTGAAATAGCCAATGATGCCATAAAACGATTTCGATTTTCAACTGTGCTCAACATTGTGTTCAACGGTCAATTGAGTACTGGACCGAGGGTTGTCTTGGATGCGTGGGATTGTGTGGCATGCTGCATATTTGATAAAGTTACTTTTCCGAATGTATAACTGCAATAAAATGTATGAAATGAACACCACCGCCTCATAGTAATTTAAAACTTTTCGATTGCCAAAAGAGGGAAGTATAAAATTAGTTCGTTAAAGACTTGAATTGAGTTTAGTGGATTATTTACAATTTACTAATTTAAATTTTTCAATTCGATTTTTATTTCAGAGCATTTAAGAGCATTTTAAAAGTGTATGTATGTATGTATCATAACATTTAGTCTCATATTTTAAAACAAATAAGGTAAAATCGCAAATTTTAAAAATCCATTTTTTAGTTCGAATATCGAGTTTGCTAAAATATGTGCAGTCCATAGGCCTTATAACGTTTCAAACTTGCTACCAATATTCATATTAAATTTATTCGTTCTTCGCTTTGAAACATAAGCACAGAAAAAATTAGCGATTTGCCTTTAAATCTCCGCTATGAAAATATGCTATCGCTCATACTATTATTAGCCGAGGAAAGTGATAAGCGTTCATTATCCTCAGACAAATGAGCCCAAACCAGTCAATGTCCGACAACACGGACCTCACATACCAACACAAGCAAACTCGATATATAACCCCGCAACCCCCACTTTCTGCACAACCTTACAGCCGACGCCATCTGAAAAATTCCAACTCATTTGTTTCGGCGGATTTACTTACGATATGATGGAAACACCGCCCATTCATAAAGCTGCTGCTGCTGTTGGAAGTTCAAGGCTGAGCAGCCTGGGAGTATTAGAGGAGTGAGCAAACAATTTATAAATGAAATTTATCAAAACAACGCAATCAACCATTGCGTCTTGGAATATGCCAAAATGTAGTAATTGTTGTGATTACACTAAATAGTTGCGTTTGGTCAAAGAAACAAAAACAAACATACACGCAAGTAAAATTTTGGAAAGTGAATGGTGAGTAGTTGTAGTTGTTTTATATTGTACGTTTAGTCCTTGGTGCGTTGAATGGAACTAGCGCTATGGGTCAAACGAATACAAGGCCTTTGCTAGTAAAAAAACAAGAGTGTGCAGGATAGTTTCCACTGACTGCCTTCGCAATTGGCATGCTGTGTGTGCCCTTGAAAGTCGGTTTCTCGAAATATTAACATACCACTTATGTACAGACCAATCAGTCTCTCTAACGTTTTCAATCAGAAATAGTAGAAACTGATGGGTCTAGAGTCCTTGGTCGACACATGCGATCTCTTACCGGCCTTCGGGATGAACGAAAACCTAACCTGCCTGCCTTCAAGCCCCTGGAACTGCACGAAGCCGAGACAATTCGTTACAGTGACGCTGGTATAATGCCATCGCCCAGGGGACTTGAATGGTTTGAATAAGTTGATCGCCCATGGTAGGGGACGTTGATTCAGAAGACTCGAAAAGGATGCGTAGTCTGTCTCAGGAATTCCGCGAGGTACTATCACTAAGGAAAGATTTCTCGGAAAGTGAGCGTCTAGGAGCAGCTTAAAGGTGTTCTGACTGGGGAAGCAAGGATTTCTCCCCAGGTGCCTCTGGAAGGGATAGTCGAAGCTTCCTGCAGTATAAGTCTTAGTTCCTTTTTTTTTAATCTTTATAAATTTTTCTAGCCATTTTCTAATCCAGACTGAGCAGTATGCACCTGTTGTCAGAGAATGAGTGGTCCATTAAAACCATCCTATCTGAAATTGTGCGGCCGAGATCAGCCAGAAACGTCCCTCATCACCCTCTACTTACTACTGCACCTGACTGATGTGTTCTGCCATATTTCGGACTGTCACATGGAGCAAACTGTGCGAAAGACCAGGAGTTGTCTAATGGTTCTCACACAAGGATTGCAGCGGTATGAAAGTTGAGCGTGTGACTAATCAGACTAAGAGTCAGGTTGACAAGTTGAGCAGCCTTGTTACTAGGATTTGCTCTGATGATGACAAAATTAACTCATTATAGCTCGGTAACTTTGGTTATCTTTTTCACCCATTCAACGTTTAATTCGAGTAAAGGGCGCGGGTATATGTTGATATATTTATGTTCTTACAAGTATTTTTAGTTATAGACTTTCTTAAGCCTTTGCGGATCGTTTCTTTTGTTAATACATTTTATTAACATATCTATTTATAAAAAACACATATTGTAATTTATTGCGTTTTAAAGTATTCCGGTTATATGTAATCCTCACAACCGGACCAAACCAACAACAATTTCTGGATTAACCTTCAATATGACGGAGGCTTTTTCCCAAACGCAGAAGTTTCACTTCAAAAAAAATCTAATTTAACACCGATACCAATAAAGCATCTTGACATAACGGACCACTCTAAGTAAGTATACATATATTATGTATATATGCCTGTGTTACCTTCTGCATCGGACTAAATTATTAAATGATCCTCTTTGTACAATAAACCGATCAAGCACAGAACATGCAGCTACTTACTTCCAACTATGCCGATCACACTGACTTTGTAAGGAGTTCAATAATAATTGTTGTAATTTCAAGTGAAGAGAAAAATTGCAATCAAGTGCAGTTTTAAGATTTCTTTGGAATTGACCCCATGCTTAGCATAACCTAAGTGTTTGTTTACATGGTCTTTAATTTCGCTACAGCTTCTGAGAGACGGCTTGAAGTTGGAAATTAAAAAAAGAACCCACCAAGAGAGCTTACGAAAAAATTCTAGTGAATTGGAGTATAGGTATGTTGTGAAGTATATATAATATAAAGTAAACAGATTGGTTTTTTGGCTTTGACTTTACGTGCCGTATAAGCCCATCAGTGTTTCTCTCTAATAAAAATGGCGACGGTTGCTTGGCAAAGCGTAAACAGATGGGAGTTGCCCAACATTTTGCTTAGCTTCGCGTCAAAAACTTTTTATGTGAACGTAGTCATACAAAAGCGTGCATCGAACTTTTCTGTCAAAACAAATATCTGACACAAAGCGTAGCAAAAGTTCTATGTGAATTGGCCATAAGTTATTTTCAATTTTATGCAAAATATTTATGTAATTTAGTTAAGTTTTAAATCTGAATGATACTTCGGTATTTGACGATAGCCAAGACACCAACAATCGCTTCATGATCTCGGTTCTCATACGTAGATGTCGCTTTAAACAGTGGATAACAAAGAAAGCTTTATTAATCACCAACAGATGTCACAAAACGCCGTAACTAAGAAAAAGTAGAAAGGGAACATCGAAAATGCGCAAATTCGAAAATTAAATTACACAACGTCAAAAACGAACCTTCCCCTCATGATGAGCGAACTCAACAAACTACACCACTCTAAGCAGGAACCAAGGAAATATTCACCACCTAATAAAGGAACGGCTAATATATTTATGCGCATATATAAATATAAATAAAAAAAATAAAAAAGGAATAAAACAACATCTGTGATAGGATTTGAACCCAGGCAATATAATAATTGTAAATTTGCAATAAGGAGCTGTGCTATACAACCAGCACCACACATAAAGTCTGAACATATTACTCTACTGTGTAAACATTATCATTTTTTAATTGCTTGCGAAATACTACTATTTTTTTACCAACAGTTCGTCAGCCCTACACTCTTCAAAACAGTCGCCTATTTACACGGCACTCATATATTAACTTTACCTCTTTCTCTCTCTTTCGGTTTAGCTATTCGGCAGAGCAAAACCAAAAGACAAAATAACACCAACAACTATGTGCCGCTGCCTTCACTCAGTGGTGGCAGCGTCGCAGAACCGTCGGCAGTGACTGCAACGACCAATTTGAAAAAATCGTGATGTGATTTTTTTTTTCTCGTAACGACAGTCAAGTTTTTGCTTTGACAGCGAACGGACACGGTTTTTTAGGAGTAGGTGTGAATAGTAGAATCAAGTTGTGAATGTGTGTATGCTGCTGGTAAAAGTTACAGCAACAAGAAATTAGTGTAAATGAAAACATTTTAAGAGAATAGCGAAAATTCATTACAATTGCCAATTCAATTTCGCACGTGTTTTCGCAATATAGAAAAATAGTCGGAAAAATACAAAATTGATTTCTTAATTTTCGGTAATACAGTGCCAATAAGCACGGCCATTTTTTTCTTTGCGTAGTTTTTTGTGGGCAGTGCTTGCATTGCATCGCACACACACTTTTTCGTATTTCATGCGACGGCGTGCCGAAAACAAAGGATGAATGTAGAAGTAAAGTAGAGAAAAAATTTGAATTGAAAGAGGAGCGGCAAAAAAAAAAAAACTACAACAATAAGAAAAAATAGTGTCGATTGTGTTTTCATTTGCACCGTGGTTTGTGTTTTTACATATGTGCACGCTGACCCTAGTTGTTGAATGCCCCGAAAGTGAAGAGGAGTAGGTATAGGAGTTGCTGCACACAACAACACCCACATCAGAAGTGCTTATTCGCAAGTGTTGCAAACGCTATGACAAAATAACAATAATAATGCAATGACAGCAACATTGAAAAATTGATAATTATCACGGTAGCGCGAAAATATTTTAGTACGTAGAAAACGACGTCGTGAAAACTTATGCTACTTGAAAGAGTCTTCTAAAATCATTAAAAATATTGATGTGATTGTGCGAATCGTTCGAATAAAACTCATAAATATTTTTCAATTGTACCTGATGAATTAAAAATTGAAGTAAATAAAAAAGAACGCGCCAAAACGTTCTCCTAGACAATTGAGCTGCTGAAATTAAAGGCTATTGCACTTGGATCAAATAAATTATAATTATTACAATATAAATTGTGGTTAGTATCTTATTTATGTATTGTATTTAGTTTACAATGTATTATAGGGGGCCTATATTTTGTGGAACTTATTGGATAAAATAGTTATTTAGAGCATATTGAGTTAATGTATAGTTTAGGTCAACCAACGAAGGAGGCCGCGAAAATTATATTTTTTTTACAAAAAAAATCAAAAAATTTACACTTTGCACATGTTCTTTCGCGTGGTAACTCCTTTTAGCACTAACGATCCCTGGTCGGTCCAAAATCGGGGTGTTCATAATTCATTCGCCTAGAACTCCTTTCTGCACTGGCGGCCTTCAGTCGCGCTTCGAAAAGGTAGCCTTGGTCGGTGCAACACCAATTGTTAATTTGTAATGAAAGTATGCGAGTTAAAAACAATTCATTTTATATGTTTATTCATGGACCTTTTATTTTTAATTATTAGCTACAATTCAAAAATTATTAGATTACATCAGAAAAATTTTTGTATAAAGAAAAATGTTCTTAACACAATTTTGATCAAATTTAATTAATTTTCATAGAAACACTTCCAACAATACTTATCAGCTAAATATTTCCAAAATTAGCAATTTGCAATACTGCTACACAGCCCAATTGCTCGTTTAAAAACAAACAGAAATCAACATACATTTTCACATATATTAAGTACATACACATAAGCACATATTTGCATACACATGTGCGAAGAAAAATAGAAAAATAAAGAGATATCGCGCGAAGTGTATCGCGCACTTTCATTCATTTTCGCAATACTTTTTTCAAGCCAATTATGCTATTTTCAATTTTTACGTTTACAGTTCGCATTGCGAATACTCACATCCGCATACATATGTGTGTCACCCTTCTGCTAAACGCCCGCCCTCCAGCCATAAGTCGTCATTCAAATACAAACATTCATATATGTCCGCCCATTCCGCTGCCCGCGGAGCGCATGTTCATCATTCGTATTTTTTCTCCAACACATTTCGTTTTGCATAATTTAATTCGCTCATTCAATTTTATTCTGACTTTTTTTGCAAAGCCCCCATGTTGTTCTTTTTTACGTCGCATCGACTTTTTTCTCCGCTTTTATAAGTATATACATTTTCCTTTTTCGCAGCAACTTGCCATCCATTCTGCTTGTTTTTTATTTTATTTGCATTCGCTCTCCGCTCTTTCGCAGTTGATGTCCACTCGACGCTCCCTCTCGTGGCGACTGCGGGCAGTTTGCCGGCGCCGTACGTGGTCATGCGGCGTTGTTACTTTTCTGCGCCGTGTGTTTTGTTTACATGTGTTTGGTATTTAAGCGCGCAATTTTGTTTTATGGACTAATTCGTTTTTTTTTTGCATCGCGCGTGTGTGTGTACTATGCACGTTTAGATGGCATCTCTGCTCCGGCGCAACAATGCAGTTAGCAGGACGTCGTTGGCTCTGTCCAGCGTTGCCGAAGTGTACATTGCTGCGCCACTGCCATATTTTTTGTGTGTATACCATTTTTTATGAGTTGCGTGTTTTGTTTTATTTTCGGTGAATTGTTAGTGGCTCGTAGCTGCGTTCGTTTTCTTGTTCTTTTGAGAAAAGAGCAATATTATCTTCTTACCTTTTTATGACATTTCGTTTTTTACACTGCGTATGTAGGAGGAAGAAACCGTTTGTAAACACAGTGGTGATGATTTAATTTTATACAGCGCATTTAATAAATTTTGTATACTAAAAAATGCTTTTCGTTTGAATGTAATTATAAATATACTTAGATTTGTATATACTTTCAAATAACTATATATATATGTATATATATATGAAAGTTCACCTTTTTTCCACAGATTTAGGAATTTTGGAAATGGGACTTTTACAAAAGATAGTGACGAGTTCCCGCTATATTTTAACGCTTATCTGTTGGTACCTAGTAATATAAATTCATTAGATCCAAATCATTAAAATTTTGATTCGGCGTTCTATAGTTAGTGCTTCCAATGAACGAACGCTAAACTTCGTATTGGTCAATTCGCACTGACCATCAAATCAAATCAAATCGACTCAGCTCGTCATTTCTATATATAGCTAATCCGTTTATGTATATATTTTATGGGGTCTCCAACGTTTACCTTGTTCAGGTAATAAAAAGGGTAGATAAACAGTTTTCTTAACTTTAATAAATAACTTTTCGTTTTTTGGAGCAAATGTCCTAAGTTGTAGGTTAAATTTATATTTGCAATATCTATTTTAATAATGTTATTTTAAGTAATTATAATTATTTAAAATACGTTTCTTTTATTACTAATTTCAAATAATCTTATTGAGTGGTTTATCACCGCGACTGTACAAGTATGCTTACAATGAGCACAAATATAGCTCTTCTTATCTCCTGATTTGAACGTTTTTGTATACTTTGCTTTCGCTAAGGTTTTGGCGAATTCTTTTTCTATTTCGCGTCCCGAACACACTAAAAATCATATAATTTTTTGGACTATGACCTCAAACCAATATATGTATTTAAGTGAATATGAATATATTATGACATAGAAAACAATATTAAGAAAAGTTTTTAAATTTTTCATTGATTATTTTTGTATATATATTTTTTTAATGTTCAAATGTTTCAGTGTCACATATCTGCACAAGTAGACATGTACATCTGCATTTAGATCTTTAGTATTGTTGACTTTCGCCAATTTATTAACTAAGTATATTTTTATTTATACACCATCTTTCATTCAGCTGGGCAACCCACTTACTGTTGTTATAAATTTATAAACAATGCAGCCAAAGAAAAAAAATAAATGTAAATGTGTGTGCGAAACGAAATCAAATGTCGAGTTCAATAAGTATTGGCGGCAGCAACCCTATGCTATGCTTCGAGTGTGCACCCATTCATAGTGTTTCTATTATTGTAATATTTATAGTTTGTGCGCCTTTTTTATTATTGCAATAAAGAAGGAATAGAAAAAATAGCGCATTGCGGGCGCACGTCGAAAAATTATACGAAGTCAATAAGGAGCAAGCAGGCAGGCCGGTTGGCATGAATGGATGGTTATCCATGTCTGTTGGTTAGGAGGCAAGCAGCACGCCGATTTGGCATGCGACTAAAGAGTAGTGGTTGACCGAAAAAATTACTGTGCTGAGGTTGAGTAAAAGAGTGTGCCGTCGAAAGGGAGCCCCGTTGTACTTCAGTTAGCGTTTATTGGAATTATTTTGGCAAGTCACAAACAATTTAAAAACAACGTAAGCTAGCTAAATATTTATTTCCAATGTTTTTTATTTACCCACACAACAATTTGTAAAATTCTGGACATGGCAATGTTTGCTGTTCTAAAAGTCAAGCGTTGACGTCGGCGTCAACTTAAGCAGAGTAGCAGATATGTTCTCTGCATAAGTAGGCGTTAATGCTGGCTGCGCGAGGAGAGATAATTTTGCATATGGAACAAAAAACAACATGAAAACACACATTCACAATTACATGGTTGCATTTATCCGTATAAATTTTTAATACTTGTCAATACTAAAAGAATAAGAGAGTATAACAGAAAATGAAATTTTTTTTAGTAACTTAGTAAAAAGGTATATACATTCATACAATATGAATAACAAAGAATAAAATATATGCCCAGACTATTAAAATTTTATAATGCAAAAAATTTAGTTGTTTTTACTAACTACAAAAACTAAATTATTAACGTCAAATTCATAACTAGTGTCCAAAATATACGTATGTGTGCGAGTATATACTTTGCAAAAAAAATTCTCACCAATTGAAATATTATCGAAAAGAATCAAGTAAAAAGAGTAGGTCACGCGCGCCGCGCTCATGCAACAGTGTTTACTGAAGACTATTTTTTTTGCATTTGCAGTGAACTGCAATCGTAAACGTGCTATTGCAAAGTGATGGGAGAATAAAATGCTTTAATTGTACCGAATTTGTACCGTATATCTACCTCTCGTATTCACTAAAATAAGAAAACTCCCAAAAATTTCCGAGAGCAGGTGTTATAATATATGTTTGAACAATATAGTTGAAAAATATCGTATAACTAATATAATATAATCCCCGCTTGTCCTGTTACTCGGTCAGAAAGTTTACCCGTATTGGTAATAATAGATCACTTGTGGTTTCTGTATGGCAAGTTCAAATTATTAGATAAAGCACACCAATAATCTATAAATATGTAGTGGAAAGTGATTTTATTTAAAAAAAGTCCGATAAATAGTGGGATTGTACCTAACTTTTTTTTTGTCCTCCAACACCAAAATGGATACAATTACATTTTATTTTACCAGCACTGTTATGTACTTCTGTTCTTGCATGCATGCGCTCTGACTTTGTATTTGCATTTTTGGGCATAAAGATTTGCAGCGCTGGTGGCGCCGTCGTTTGGCAGCTGCCATACTTTTGTTGCGTTTATCAATTTTTTTTTTGCTGCTGTTTGCGTTTTTTGAATTCGCTCACACTTCCATGTGTACATAATTCGTTTTTTGCCATTTTCATATTATCGCCAACACATATGTGTATGTGTGTATGTATGTACGTGTTTCCACCATGTGCGCATGAATGCATAGCGTAGTGTGAATGTGCAAGTGCGCTTATGTTGTTGCAGATTCTTTTTTATTGATTTTTTGCTTTCGTGTGGCTGCTTATTTGCTTTGTGGCCGGTTTTGAATTTCGGTATTTATTCTGCTGCCCTCTGTGCTTATTTTTTATTAGTGGAATAAGAGAAATTAGCAATGAATTTTACATTTGTAGTGTTAGCGCTTATTTTTAACCACTTTACTTTTATACGATTATTTTGCGATGCCAACATCGCATGCGTTTACGTCACAAACGACCCACCTCCTGTTTTAATCAAAAGTATTTAATGTTGTCTTTTTACCATTTAATTTTAATTTTTTTGTTTCACCTTTTGGATTATATGTGCTATATACATTCATTCATATGTACAGCTGTGTTCATGAAAATAGTGCTGGTGAGTTTTAATTATAATTTAAAAAAATCTAGTCAAAAAATACAAACTATGAATTGAATA